GGAAAACTCCGTGTTGCCTAGACCACGGCCTTGCCCAACACAAGTTATAAATTCGGGCACCGCCGGGAATCGAACCCGAGACCCCAGGATTACAAGGCCAGCGTTCTAACCATCCGACCGCCCTTTACCCCTTGTTGTCAATTATAAAATATCTTCTATCTTTTGAACGCCGTGGTTGAGTTACCCTCAGATCTCGAATGAGGTTATTTTAGGCGGTGGCCAAAGTCCAGAAGAAGAGTTGCACAAAAATTATGTGGGCTTAACACGTTTCTTATTCCAAGATAAAATATAAAAATTAGCCGTTTGTAGCCTACTGCATTCGTACGTCTACCTGCTTCATTGTTGGCGCCTTATCCTCTGTCCGACATAACCTCAATTGTTGTTGATACTGATTCGTCTAGGCGTTTTACTGACGATACAGATCAAAACCAGTTCATCTGTGTTGTCAGTGGCGAGTGAAGAAAAAGCCTTTAGATTGTCACGCGGTTACAGTGTGAAAGAAAGGCTGTTACGAAATGCTAGGTTCATTGCCTCTAACCGTTTTAGTTGACGGTCTAGAAGTTTATACTTCACTTAACTCCGTATAAATTCGATATTAGTTTAAAAAATTGACTCTTTCATTTATAAATGTACGTTATGTCAAATACTATTTTTGTTCTTATGGTGGTATTGTATTTATTCGTAATTTAATAAATTTAATAATTTCTTGAATTGAGTTATAGACGGAGTTGATGTTTATCCCAATTATTCTCATTAGCCTTCCGTATTATCCGACATTTTCGATTATCCGACCGCCCTTCAGTCCCATTTGGGTCTGGTAATCGGGACACTTATTCGTTCTATTAATAGCTCGCATTCCGATTACCTGCCATTGTCATCGATTCATTTTTTCCAGTGATTCCTGTGATTTATCGTCTTCCGTTAAGCAGGCTTATCCAGACATACAGGCGTATCATAAGCAAACTACAAACATGACTACTGTTCGCGAGAGATAAGACTGCTCTTGGTGCAAATATATGGCACATACCCGGACATTATATTAACTTAAGCACTGGTAGTTGGAGATGGCACAGTTGAAGTGTGTGGTCCGAAACGGAGTGTTTTTGCAGGGGACTAGGAGCCGAGACATGAAGGTCGGGCAGCGAGAACTGCTAAGTGCATTGGAAGTAAATTCGTTTTTAAAAAAATCTGATGTCACGTGATCTTCTGGGTTGAGACGCCGATGTCCTCCCATCTACAAATAGCTGAACGAAATGATCTCATACCTTAAGGTTTTCCGATTAAAATGTATGCTTGTCTATATAATCTTCTCGGGCAACCGACGTTTCGGGAAGCAACTCTGTCCCCTTCATCAGAGTTCCATCTTCTCACCCCTCCTTTTGTCTTCCATCTTCCCCTCTTCCTTCTGCATCCCTTCACACCTCCCTCCTCATCCATTTCCTTCTGTGCGTGCCACATATCTCGCCCATCTCAGCCTCCTCGATTTTATCACCCAAATATTGTTAAATGTTATTACGAACCATGATCCTTGCCTCGTTTTGATTCAAGATGTTCTCATCCATGTATTCCTCAAACAACCTTGTTCCTTTGCTCCTCCGTTAGGACGAAAGCTGACTTCTTGGTTAGGAGACGGCAAGAAAAGGATTCTGAACTGAGTGGTATCGTGTAAGCATTCCTGGAATTGAACGTGGATGAATGAAGACATAATTTTGATTTGTTACTGTCGTCGTAGAATGTCTTCATACATTTCCGAAAGATTTATTAGCCATTGTTGTTCGCCTCTTAATCGCCCTCTGAAGATAGGGGGAAGCACACGATGACTCACCCCCTAGAGTCCAATCTAATCTCTGCGCCAGCAAAACGGAAATTACAGAAATACGAATTTAAAAGGAATGAACATCGTCCCGAGTCCAGTGCCAAAATCGTTCGTCAAATTATGTATCGATATCATTTAAAATTGCTCGTTAATTTTAGAGGGTTAATTAACTGTAATGATTATAGGCCTACAGATGGAATGATTTGGAGGATTGTGAACGATGAAATTGAAAGGCTGTAGGTTGAAATTATCGAGACGTATTCCAATGTATCATGCCTCAATATTACTCTTAAGAGTTGAAGAAAATCACGAAGGTCTGAGGTTATATGGCCAGTCTCCTTGCCGAGATTCAAACCGCTGATCGTGAGACCGCAATGCTAAGTATCATCAGTTCAAGAACTCGGACTAGTTTGTTAATATAAGTCATCCACAAGAACAGATTGAAATTCATATAGAAGAATGTTTAAAACGTGAGAAGTTTTTGCCAGGCTGTTTTGATTGAAGGTTCGTTTACGCCTGTGTCCAGAAGAAGCGATGTTTTAGCGCCAAGTTTTTTTTATTCCAATTAAATGTAATTCCAGCTGGCCGTCATTCTTCAATGACCTATGACCCTCTGTTCAGTGACTCACATTCGGTGGCGCTACATATGGTAAGTTTATAACTTGCAGTTATGCGAAGATTATTTGCCATTTGTACATCCAGAAAGAGATTCAGGCGTACTCCAATGTAGGTGTTAACTAATTTCAAAGTCGTATGTTTCATCGAATATTTTGGTGTTAAGATTAAAGTTGACAATTTTAGAATTGCTCTAAAACTGCATTTGAACGAAGGGACCATGGAAGACCACAAAAATGTTATTAGGATTTCCGCTTTCCGATCCCCGAACGCGTCTGGGACATCACAAATACGATCCGATGGTCTCGACACGGATTAAGTGTCGGGAATCATGTAGAATGTCTTCATACATTTCCGAAAGATTTATTAGCCATTGTTGTTCGCCTCTTAATCGCCCTCTGAAGATAGGGGGAAGCACACGATGACTCACCCCCTAGAGTCCAATCTAATCTCTGCGCCAGCAAAACGGAAATTACAGAAATACGAATTTAAAAGGAATGAACATCGTCCCGAGTCCAGTGCCAAAATCGTTCGTCAAATTATGTATCGATATCATTTAAAATTGCTCGTTAATTTTAGAGGGTTAATTAACTGTAATGATTATAGGCCTACAGATGGAATGATTTGGAGGATTGTGAACGATGAAATTGAAAGGCTGTAGGTTGAAATTATCGAGACGTATTCCAATGTATCATGCCTCAATATTACTCTTAAGAGTTGAAGAAAATCACGAAGGTCTGAGGTTATATGGCCAGTCTCCTTGCCGAGATTCAAACCGCTGATCGTGAGACCGCAATGCTAAGTATCATCAGTTCAAGAACTCGGACTAGTTTGTTAATATAAGTCATCCACAAGAACAGATTGAAATTCATATAGAAGAATGTTTAAAACGTGAGAAGTTTTTGCCAGGCTGTTTTGATTGAAGGTTCGTTTACGCCTGTGTCCAGAAGAAGCGATGTTTTAGCGCCAAGTTTTTTTTATTCCAATTAAATGTAATTCCAGCTGGCCGTCATTCTTCAATGACCTATGACCCTCTGTTCAGTGACTCACATTCGGTGGCGCTACATATGGTAAGTTTATAACTTGCAGTTATGCGAAGATTATTTGCCATTTGTACATCCAGAAAGAGATTCAGGCGTACTCCAATGTAGGTGTTAACTAATTTCAAAGTCGTATGTTTCATCGAATATTTTGGTGTTAAGATTAAAGTTGACAATTTTAGAATTGCTCTAAAACTGCATTTGAACGAAGGGACCATGGAAGACCACAAAAATGTTATTAGGATTTCCGCTTTCCGATCCCCGAACGCGTCTGGGACATCACAAATACGATCCGATGGTCTCGACACGGATTAAGTGTCGGGAATCATTAACACTCCTGTAATCCCACTTGCCAATTCCACTGACATCAATTTTGTCCCACGATATGAAATGCGTTTAACCGTATCTCATATTTAACATGAAATAACTTTCGTTTAACTCGTGTTCTTAATTTGACGAGATCTTTTGTTTCTGAATAGTTCAAGGCTTGCAGTACTTTTAGCTGAGTCAGAGACATGGGATACCCCATCACTAAGTGCAGACTGTGACTCTCTGATTGGTAAAGCAGTTGTTCGTTTTAGGCATGCTCATACACGAAAAATACCCCCCTCCTCTACACACATGACGCACACACTCATAAAATTCATTTAAAGGACCACGCAACGCCAGCTCGCCTTTGGAGCGTTGCTAATGTGGCTTTATTTCAGTGGCTACTCAATCTTACGAAAGTTCTATTAGGACGGATTTTTCTTTTTTTAATTGTGGGGTTTCTGGCGTTGCAGATGAAAACATAAGAATGTTCTGTGAATCTCGACGTTTCTGTGGTGCACGATATGACGTTGCGTAATAAAGTTCTGTTGAAGAAATAATTTGGATACGCGGTACAGGTAATGATAGGAGAATGGAGAAAATTATACACTGATAAAGTTGAACGCAACCTTCACTTTCCGGCTACCAGCTGGAGCTGCCTGACGCCAAGAGCTACGAGGTTTCCTTGGAAGACTACAAAATTATCTTCTGCTTTTGCTGCAGTTCCTACCGGAAGTGGCAGCTATCTTCAACTTTATCAGTGAACGCACTGTAACTAACAATGGGGAATTGCACAATTTCTATTCTTAGTTTGGTAATGTTCAAGCTGTAAGTTATAAAGGCGATGATATGGGCAGGATGTGACACGGAAAATGATGTAGGTACATGAAATATTGTTTAGAGCATCCGAAAGAATGCAACATGCAGAAACATTTATAGGTAAACAGTTTTCATGAAATGTCTGTCAGGTTGACAGATGTCCTGTCCATGACAGGAAGCAGGTAGACTCCTGAATGAAAAAGGGACATTTTTGTAACTTGGTTTTGCGGGAAGAGTATTCCCATTTTTTAATGCATGCAATGTGTGCTCAACCTTTGACTCTGAACTTACCATGAAAATATAATTATGGAAACACTGTAACAATTAGTGTGGAACATTTGTCATGATTTCTTGTGCAACAGATAAGCTAAGTAATCAGTTAATTTTGTGTCTTCTTTCAGGTAGTCGAGCCGCTGACATGGATGACATCCTGATAGTATCGAGCAATCAGAGCCAGGCGGCTGCTTCCTGGGTCGACTACCTCAAAGTTTGCTTCGATCAGATCAACAAAACACGCAAAAGACCGCCCTTCAAGTAAGTGGCTGCATCTGCTTCAGTAGAATATTACGTGTTGAATTAATCCTCTCTTGGCCTTAAGTGCCACTGCATTCAAAAGCGTTAATTCTTTTTCGTCCTTAGAGTCGTATTTCTTACGAAGTTAATAAACTCTCTGATGCTTCGGATATTGGCTTACTTAACCACACTGGCTTCAGTTACCAAAGTATTTATTAAAATTGAGGGTTAGAGTTCGCCTGAATGGGTTCAATTGCAGGTAAAGGCCGCTGTATATATATGAATCAAATTAAACTTGCCCTGTACTGTTGCTAATGTTACAGGATGATGTGTGTGAGTTTGGAGGATGTAGTTGGTCCCCAAGTGGTGCCCCTTGCTATAGAAGAAAAGATGACGCACGTAAAACTGCAGATTGTGATCATCTGCCCACAATTTCTGCATCATATTTACGAGAACCCAGGACCAGCCACGACTCTGGGTCGCCTGCTGCAGCCAGACAGAGTGTTGGCCATGCTGCTGGGGGTGGACGAGTCTACAGTGACAGAACAGCATCGAGCAGGTAGCTGGCGGAAAGTTGATCAAACACAGGACTCAAAATCTGGTCTCCTGTATCCATATTTCAGCAACTTTCTTGAATTAGGAAATGCTTGAAACTAAATAGAATAATTGTTAATGATAATGACATAAAAGAATCTTTTATTTAGGATTGTAACAGATCAGTCAATTAAATTATGTAATTTAGGGTGATTTATGTTCAGTCTAATTTGATATCATGTTTTACAATTTGCAGTATCGCGTCAATTAAGACCGTCGCAGAAATAACAATAGAAAATGCAATAAACATTATTAAATATGTTTGGCCTTTTCTTCAGTTTAAAACAGATTATGAAAATATATTTGGTAGGATTTTTGAACAGGGTTTTGGCGTTTCATAAGTTCTCTTTCTCAACTGAATGGGATTTGAACCCATTAATCAAAGTTCAAGCAGTTGAAGAACGCATTACCTTAGATTAAACAACTGCTGGTTTCTGCCTCGATTTATTATGCACTGGAATTGAATGTTGTGCTTTGTCGTGTGCCTAACAAGTTATATCGGAAGCAACGCGCGGAAATAAACGGAACAAAAACAGGACATTTGGAGCCATGTGCTATTTAAATAAATGACTTTTAATTTGTTTGTTGGCAGCACTCATATCATACCAACAGTGGCATCACATTCCTGTAAAAGACCAAGACGAATCGTTCGTGAGCAAGTTCCTGCAGGAAGCACTGGATATGATGGCACGCGTTTGGCGCCAGCAGACGTTACGCACTGACAGAGCTCTTTTCTCGGTGATACCTAAGAAAGTAAAAGAGGTGAGCTAGATGCTCGTGATGTGCGTAATCTGTACTTTCACAGATTTGGGGAAAATACAAAACTTGTATTATTATTCGTAAATCAGAAAGTTCTCTTACTTCTGAGCATTACGCGGTGTAATGAATGTAATAAACCAATGGACTGTTACTTTTCAGGGGCAGCATAAAGTAATTGTACTCTTAAATGAGCCTATAGAAAAGGAAGATAAACTTAAAATAACAGTGGACAAGAACGGCGAACATTTGGAAGTGTCATCTGTGAAGCGACGAAATCCCTATACGTTGCACTTCCAAATGCCAGGTACGGAATATTTGCATAATTACACCAGTGCTTTTGTTATTTTAAGCCACTGTTTACCTGTGAAGCTTCATTTGTTTGTATATTACGAAGTGTGGTTTGTCTTCTGTGGCATTTCATGAGAATCAGCCTCATTACAGTGAAGAAGTTTTTGGTATAGATTTTAGTCTTAAAAATTTAATCTAAAATATTGAATGAGCAAACCAACGATAAACATTATAGAACAATAATACGAAGCAGTGTCACAGTATCGCATTCTAGAACCGTAATTAGTATCGCATTATTTCAATGTTTCAGAAAGTTGCTTGGAAGTGTCCATGTTAGTGAGTGTGCACGTGGAGAAGAACGGTCAAGCTCTTGGTCACCGGCAAGTGAAATGTGAGAGTCGCATGCGAGAACTTGACCAGATTTTACGGTCCTGTGACAATCCTCTGGAGTTCATGTGTCAGGTATGTGTTTATCGTATTCTTTTAGGACATGACGGGAAATGCTCGGGTAGATACAACTTTTATTTACGTGTTACTCAGATATTTCTTGCGTCTCGTAACAAAATTCAGTACAGATGTCTTATATCCTGCGCACCGTTTTTGCAGACACTGGGCTTTAGCCCGGGTGATCGCGAACATCTGGACAACTTCCTAGTATTAGCATTCCAGCGTAATTTACCTCCACACTTCAACCTCTTACATGTGACAGGACATCCACACCATCACAGGACGCATACTAGTGAGTACATCGCATGCCATTACAGCAAAATGGTTAGTCTTCCTGATTTATATTACTGAAGGTCCCAGTTTCAATTCTCAGTCTAGAGACTGACTGTCATGACTGAGATCTTTTGTAGTTTTCCTCAGTCCCTCCAGGAAAATTTCAGGATAGTAGCGTAAATTAAGTCATGTCTCATGCTACATATTCCTGACTACTGATAGCATAACTTCTGTTTCATTGTGATTTTTTTTTCTTAAAACAATTTAAATTGTCTGCCTCTTAGGCCCAGAAGAGTATCCAACGCTGCTGCACTTTGCAGCAAGAAATGGACTGGAAAAATTGGCCTGGCAACTCTTGGAATGTCCGGGTGGCGAGCATGCCTGTGAAATTCGAAATGCGTGCGAGTTGACACCAGCAGAAATGGCTGAAGCAGCTGGCCATAGCAAATTGGCAAATGCACTCCGGGGATACATGGTAACTATTTTTTCACATCACCATTTATCTTTTTGCGGTATAGACTGACTTGACTTAACAGACACGTGGTTAGTTGCTAAATTCTCGCATCAGAACTTACGAACTTCGGCGAACTGGCATATTTTTAAATAAAAATTTATTATCATTCAAAATTTCAAGACCCTGCAGTACATGACGCTATCGTCACTCCTACCTCAGAAGTTCACATGGTGAAATGCTTTTTTCTACATGGTCTGCTTCTTCATTCTGACACATTTCCACTTTATGTAGGTCATCTGACAGCCGAGCCTCTCCACCTGTTTCTGTCTTGGGTGTTTTACTTTAATAATTAATATGTGATGCTTGCATATGGCTACTGAAATATTGATCTGCAATAACGTGTGTTTGTTTGTCTCCTGTTCCCCCAACCGGGCAGCAAATGACTGAATTCACCAGTATGTACAGCTACATGAAGATCATGAGTGAGGGAAAGGCAAAGTCCTCAGGTAAGCATAAAGCAGTTGCTTTCGTTATATTTTACCTCTGACATTCAATCTTTGATAATATATCCCTACATTTGCATGGGTGTTATATCGACAGACAATAAGTTCTGTTTTAGAAAATAGGTGCAATATATAAACAGCAATTACATAATTCTCTTTTTCCAGGGTTTAATGACATAGAGTATCACCAACCTCGTCCACTTAGTGAAACCTACCAGGTTCCTCCCGCTGCACGTGTCCTCATGGATCACTACCAGGTGCCACCCACCGCACGGCCATATTGTCCTCCTGGAAATGAAATGGGGTACATGGAAATGCACCCTCCAGGTTTGTCATCAAATTAGGATATTATACCTACAGCTGCATATTAAAATTGTCATACTACGTGAAGATGGCCGTCTTCTGGGTTTTAGCTCCAATGTAGAAGTTTAAGTGGTGCTACAACCCAGAAGACGGCCATCTTCATACTCACTGCCATGAGAAACTCAAATCCTGCTTCATGCCACATGAACCGACACCATGTTATCAGACATATAATCATACAATGCTTGCCGTCCAGTGTACATGGCACGCCGAGTGCGGCTGTAACTTCTGACTGATCTTGACAGACAAGAAATGCTATTTTTGTAGCTTCCCAAAGCATGCCTTTCTCTCTTTTTTATTTTTATTTATTTATTATGACCGAACAGACACGGGATAAGAATCTGTCTTGATTTTGCAGCCCCACTTTTCCAGTCTCCAGCTTCATCATTTAGAAACAGCCTCAGTTGTCTGAACACAGCGGCCGTTAACTCAGAAGCGCCTGCCACAACTGTTAGATCGCCTTCTCCTGTATGTACCTCGCCAAAGTCTGACGGCCTAGATCACCTGACTCTAGAAGAGGAGAAGCTTCCTGTTTATGGCAAGTCTTTGTGCTTCTTGGCACTGAAACTGTGTTTGTGAATAATTAGTTAAGTTGGTGTTACAAAGTCTTCCATTGTCCCTCACAGAAGTTGGAGTTTAAGTCCCACTAGCATCCGTGTAGTACAGGGATTTAAATCCCCTATTTCACTATGATGAAGGTTAATATATTTTATTATTGTTAATTTTGTCCATACATATTGCTGCACCTCCAAGTTAAAGTTTGGCTGTCAGACGTACAGTACAGGGGTCAAATGCCCTAATCATGTCTAACAAAAACCACTGTTGCGATCAATACATGACTTTGCTAGTAGGTAACATCACAGTTATAGGAATTTGATGAAAATGTTACTAGTTCATTTGACTGTGGACTGGAATGTTTGACTTGAACGCCTATCCAGAATTGAAACCTGAAACAGATGCTTTTCCCGATAAAAGTCGCATGTCCTACAACTGTGCTAACCTGCGAAGAAGCAGATGGATTATGTCAGAAATAGGTACATTTTGTCAGCAAAAAACAGAATTATTTATTGTTTAAGCAGGTGGTGCAAATAGTTACCACTATTCTTTGAAATGTTACTTTGACAATCGTTCTATTCAGTAGGTGGGGCTAAGAAGTCTCGCGAGCAAATTCACCACCAGTATGGTGCACAAGAAGAACTTGCAGAAATTCTTTATGACTTCAAGAACAATGTATTCAGCATTGCTGAAGTTGAGAGGTTTGTGGAGAATTGGCAAAATAGAAATGATGTGAAACAGTCCTTTAAGGATAAACAGGTAATCATGTAACCATTTAACGGCGTATATTTTATTTTATGTGATTCTTCAGGTGTCTTTGCTTTCTTGTTGTTGTGTTATGTGAATATTTAAATTAGATTGCTCTTCCTTGAAATGTAGTGAATGATTTATTCATGAGACTCGTCTCATCCATACAAAATTTCTAGGTTTGGGGCACTTTCATGTGTGTCGATGGAACCGCTATTAGACACTGGAAAGTTTGTAATGGAATTTGTTGTCGTTTCCTGGAGCTCTGAAAGCAACTGATAACATGTACTTTACAGGAACAACTGAATCATATGCGCGAGGAATATGAACATCTTCAGCAGAGGATGAAGGAGAGTATGAAACGCCCCACACCTTTTGACCGAATTCGCAAATTATTCAGAGGAAAGCCAAAAGGTTAGAATTCCAATTTGATACATATTTTAAAATCAGAATTAGTGTATGACAAAAGTAAGAGTAATTAAATTCAGATGGCATGTGTTCATAGAAAATGTTTTGTTGGTTCCCACTTCTTGTATAGCATATTAAATTTAACATTCTTTTTCTTTCAGAAACGAAGGAATCTTCAGCAAGTTGTCCGGGAGATGGAACAAAGACTAGTAGCATTGAGTCCATGCCAGTCTGTCAGCGTCCTTCCAGCAGTTTAAGCCTTCACAGTATTTCCAGTAAGTCAGCTTTGGAAATAAATAACTAATAATTATCAAAGGCTAGGTTTTCAAGCTGAAATTCTATGACACATGTTGTGTCCATTGAGATAAACTAGAATCTCTCATAATTTAGAAGAGTATATATATAACTAATAATAATTTATAAAGGTGTAACTAATAATTCTTCCAGGGCTGAGTTCTGACAAAGAACTCTAATAAATATACTGAGTTGATTAAAGGAAAGTTTATGTTGATAGAATCTTCATAATTTTAAATTATTTATTTTTACTTGTCTTTGTATGTTCATTATAAAGTATTTAACATAGTGGGACCCAGCCTCGTGAAATTTGCATCTTCCTTTATTGTGGTTGGTTACAGGTTCATCGTCGTCGTCAGGTCGCATGAGCACAGTCAGTGCCTGCAGTGGTACAAGCCTTGGCGACTCTGGAACACACTCTGACCCCGAAGACAGAAAGGTACGGTATATGGGTCTTTCGTCCATCTGCCCTAAGCCTTTACGGGAAAAAGAAGAAAATTGGTATGCATTAATCCTTTACCCACCTGAGAACTAGTTGGGTCAGTGAAGCAGGTTCTGCTTATGTACGTCACAAATATGTCGAGATGACATTAAAAGTAGAATATTTTCAATAATTGTCTTTGTATTATTTGTGCTGCTTTTGAGACATTCTTATTTTAATACAAAGCATCACTTATTTTATTTCTGCTAGATGCTTTCTTCACCAACTGATGCAAGAAACTGTGGCAATGGCGTTAAATTTGGTATCCAGAACTACGAAATACCTCCAGCCCCAAGACCACTTGGGAAGATTTCTTCTCCACATTACACTGCTGGTTCTACTCTGCAGCAAACTACTCCGTCATGTGCACCTTCTAATATTTCTATAGAGGTATTACGTGATTTGAAGCTTTCATGGTGACCAACATTAATAAATTCTCCTTGGGACTATCGGCCATGTCACTTGGTTAAAAATTGACATTAATTCAACTTACGAGTTTTTGAATCCTATTTTTAATTTAATTTTGCATTATAAAAGTGAGGGTTGTAGGTTAGATAGAGCAGAAACCAAAAATATGCCATTTCCAGTGATTAATTAAAATACAAATTAATTATTACACAAACATTTATCCCAGGACACATTTTATTATCAATAAATGTTATTACTATGTGTCATGTATAATTGCTCAGATTTTTATTTCTTAGAACCGCCCTCCTTGGCCTTCACCTCGGCCGGACTTATTAGAACTTCGGTCATCAAATGGTGATCCTAATAGTGGGGACTCCATTTCTTTTATGCAAACTGGTGAGTTCTGTACTAATTATAAAACTATACAAATTTTGATGAACGTCTTATTAAGGGGTGCATGATATTTGGATAAATACTATACTTCCTTACAGTATTAAAAATAAAAATCCATATTTGAATATTGGTACTAACTTTAAAGAGATCAAAATATAACTTGCTCTGGTTCTGTGTTTGAAGCCATGTTCCTGAAGTCCCCAGCCAGCAAGAGGAGAATGTATGACACAAGCGAAAGCAGGGACTGTGAATACCTAGAACTGCAGCCCAGTCCAGTCGGTGATGATTCTAAACCAGATTATGTCAACGTTGTTGGTATAGAATCTCCCAACACCCCTAAAGCAGAGACTGTGACAGATGTGAAATTAGAAGAGGGCTCGTACCAAACAAAAATTAGTACAGTTAATACTCTTCATTATCCAAAGAGCCCTGCCCCAAGTGATGATTCGGACTTGCCTGATTATGTGAATGTGTGTGTCTCGAGTTCTGAATCGCATCTTCCGCCTCCTATACCACCTAGAAATAAGTAGGCTTAAAGTTGGTAGGTATCAAATTATATAGGTATAGAACTCTTTCTGGATCATAAAAACAGGATTACCACACTGAAATTGATTGTCAGCAGTGAAAGAAATGTGCATAAACACCATAAAAATTAAAGGTAATCATTGCGGCTGTTTCTCTTTTTAAGGATCTATAAAATCAAATTAATATGTGGGACTGAACCGGAGAAATGGGATATTGTTAAATGGGTGCAGTTAAGAAATTATGTTGTACAATCTCTGCATAAAGTGTATATCTATACAATATTATTGTCTAGGAGTGCAATATATAGCTAATTCATTTTGTCACTTTTTGTGTTCACGTAGCGTGTGGGTGGTAAGGGATCCAAAATGTGATGCAAGAAGGCAGTGAAAATACATTTTCCTGATACATGAAACTACTTGGCATATATGACGAGTTGCCAAGCATCACAGTCGTTCTAATCAGTATCTTTATTTTTCTGAAGGCATCAAAAATGTGGCTGCAACTCAAAACTGCAAAAATGTTTAAATTGTTATTTAATTAAAGTTGGAATTAATTTTTTAATCATTCTTTAAAATGGTATGGACATTAAAACTGGTTGAACCTTCGTGCATTAATTTTAATTTTATATTTTGTAACTCCTGATATTTATCAAAATGTTATAAATATAAATGTTTTAAACACTTCATTTGTTGCTGTGTAACCCCACTGTGGAAGTTGTATTCAAATAAGAGGAAATGTAAAGGTTTTACATTTCTTTACTACCAGTACAGTAATGAACTTCTTTGGATTAATTGCTTTAAAAAGAAGTTATATGTAATTTTATCTTTAAAATAAGGTATTTACATTGTTTTTTGTATTATGGTTTAAATGGTGTTTGAAGAATATTGATGCATTGATTCATGGTGCAATTAATAGTGGAGAATAATTTGATTGGACTATTCTACATCAAATTTACGGAATAAGACGGATTAAATTATGCACATCAGTTTTCTTACAATCTTTCAGTATAGTAGTGATGGAGAGAAAAAGACTTAACTATGCACATATAGTTACAAGACAATAATAAGTGCTTATGGTAAAACATAACCCCAAAAATTCTAAGATCATAAATTATGATTATCAATTTACATGGTCCTTACAACTACATAAAACATGCTGCTAGCTATTCTGCTGAGATGCATACGATGCAAATATCCCTGAAATGTAGTATGAAATCATTGCATCGTATATGTGAAGCGGATGGCATCCTCAAATTTGAATGTTTTATGCAGAGAGAGCGCTATAAATATGAGGCACTTGAATGAGCCAGAAAATTGTATCTGTGGAGGAATCAACTGGTAGGAATAGAATCATGTGGACCAATGGCTTTAGACCTCAGTCATGAATCTAATCTTAGGTAACATAATACCTGCCATTTCTGTATTTACATGTGTAAACAAATATTTAAACTAACTATTTTATAAAGTAACATAATTTATAGTTTTATATGAACTACTGATATTTTAGTAGGATTTGAGGTTCTCAAAGTGGCAAGTATGAAGATGACTCTTCTGGGTTGTAGTGCCATGTACTCTGGTAGAAGTCTACCAACATTTCAGAGGTCGCTGCTGCCTGCGAAGGATACAGTCATCTTCATACTCATGTTTTACATTATACTTAAGTCCTGAGTAACTGCATTTATATAGTATTAAATTTTGTACTATAATTTTTATTATTCCTTTTCATATGGCATACACATCACTAATCTAAAATGAAATATAGGATTAGTTTTACGTATCATGAGGCCAGATACAATTAAAATATTACGTTTTAGTAGGCAATTATGAAGAACAAGAATATTCTGTACGTTAAGTCTGAGTTATCCATTGTAAAGGAAGAAATAAAATTCATGGCAACTAAAAAATAAACGAATATCTCAATGAAAGAATCCTGTAAATTATGTTCATTAAAACAAGAATACACTGTATTAATATTTTTAGTTAAAAATACTGTTCTTCTGACAGAAATATACAAATTTTTCAACTTAATTTACAATCCCATAATTGACATACTTTTTTCAGTTCCATTAGTTTTCCAAAAATTTCAGTGCTTTTATTTCCTTCAAAATATGTGTCATTTCATTTGAATTTTTGGGTTTTGTGACTTTTTGGCTGATTAATTTTTCTTTTCAGCTATCTGCTCTGTGAGATGATGCTGCCTGTCTTGCAAATATAATTTTAGCTTGTGTTGCACATAACTGTATTACAATGATGCCAACTTCAGTTAGCCTCCTGATAATTCATCCCTCTTAGACCCAAATATTCTCCTCAGACACCTGTTCTCAAACACCCTCAGTCTACATCCCTCCCTTAGTGTCAGTGACCAAGTTTCACATCCAACAAAATTACAGGCAAAATGTTTTGTATATTTTAATCTTCACATTTTTAGACAGCATACGAGAAGACAAAAGGTTCTGAAATGAATGGTAGAAAGCATTACCTGAATTCAATCTGCCCTTAATTTCCTCATGAATCAAATTTTGATCTGCTACTGTCACTCCCAAACATCTGAACTCACAGATCCATTAGCTATCGTTATGTCAAGATTTCTTCCTTAATCCGGGTGATGACACATCAACATATACGTAGTTTTCCCTGTATTTTCTTCTAGACCCACCTCCATTCTAGCATTAATTAGAGCTATGGTTTCTCTTTATGATATTTATGTTACCCCCAACAGATTTACATCATCAGCATAGACCAGAAGCTGATGTGTCCCACTCAATTTCAATCCCACCTCGTTCAATAACTTCATTGTATAATCAGTATTTGACATCTGTGCTCTCATGGCTCACTTCCCCACAGTTACCTACCCTACTTCGAACCCTATCAGTGTTCTCCTTAACCATAGTTTTGAATTAGTAACCTCACACATTGGTCAGCTGGAAACCAGGTTCACTTACAAGCAAAGAGTGTGATGGTTAGTGACCACTAGCTTCTTCCAGCATGGTGCTGTTCCAGTATCCCATATACCCTTGTAATATTCTGATATCACGAAAGAAAAGGATGTGTTCTGTCAATGTGGCTGTCATGAAGCGACTCTGAAGTTCAGAAACGAAGCAATTTCACTTTGAGGAATTGTTATTCAGGTCTAGCGGTATATGAATGGTCCGGATGTAGATTCAAAACGCGCATGACTCAGACCCACATCTCACACAGATTCTAGGAGCGGCCCACAATTAGCAATCATCATTTCTGAGCAGAGGTCAGTACTGTCACGTGCCGAAGTAAGCCTGAGATATTACAGAGCAAGGATGATTTTATTTCGGAAGGAAGGATTTTGTTAAAAACCAACTAGCAAAGGCTGAATTGTAAACGAACTATGCTGCTGATTTAGCCAAAATGTTGGAACCTTAAGCATAATTTATTTTCTTCACGTTTCAGAGAAGGGCTTATTTTTCTTTCACAACTTCACACAGTGAATGTCCATGGGATCTTCTGGGTTGTGACGCCGTGTTGTCTCCATATTAGCCCGGAAGATATTCCGAAAAATTGAAAAGCTATAATTTTGTTACGCTCGTAAATACGTACTGTAGAATATAAGAAGCAACTTCATACTCGGAACCGTGAGAACCCTGCTTATCACCAAGTTAAGTACAACTTAAAAACTGAAATTCGGTAGGAGATGAAAGGCAACCGATGAAATTTCGAAGTGACGTTCTATGTTCGTATCTCAACGGTAAGGTGCTACGTGTGTTTTCTTTGACAGTGGAGAGGTGAACAACATTTATCCTGCCCCAGCCATGACGTCACACCGTTCAAGGTGTTCCTCTTCATTACACATGTCAATTGGAATGTCTTTCCCTGTGCGGTGTTTGCGTTATGAGGTGTATGGTGGAATGCCGTTCGTCCTGAAGGTCAACACAAGAGTACTGGGCCACGAGGTGTGATTGCAGCATCTTGCTCGGCCGTATTCTGCTGCCATCCCTTGCACGACCAAGAAAACTCTGACTGACCTGCTTTCGTCAGCGTTCATAACAGTCCACCCAAGCGGTCTCTCTCTCGAGAAGAGGCCTGAATCTGGCTGTCTTCTGGCACGTTGCGTCTGCACCCTGGCAGATACTGACAGTCGTACCCCAGGAGCGTACTGCCTCCATCATCAGAGCGATCATGGAGACAGACTACATGATACAACACCCAAGGAGGACTGAGAAAATTAATAAATATGTCAATTGTCGAAATTTGAATCCAGTGCCTTCATGACAGAGACATACAACCAACATCTACCGAAAGTCAAAGTCGAGTAATTTTTCATATCGGAAAGTCCTGGTTTGTTTTCCGACCCAGAGGCCTTTTGTCGTCTTTGATATTTTCCGATTGGTCTACGCCAAACAAGATGTAAACCACACAAAATAAAAACGAAAGTTTGAGAAACAATTAGCTACAAAAATGTAGGAACAGTGTAAGTCAATGAAAGCTAATTCTTTCCTCAGTTCCTCCAAAGTCTGGGATTAAAGACTTACGATAAACCAAGATTACAATCACCCCTTCCACATTCGTTTTATTCCATCATCACTCGCAGTCATCATCCCATGTAATGCTAGTGCAGTGGAATAATTCTGACATGGTAAAACCGGACTAATCATATGCGTCTAGCCGGAAAACAGCCTTCGGATTCGGCAGTTGAGGGTGGTTAATTGAATTATGTAGTTAAAAGGTGAAGATTACCCACATTTTATCTCTTTATTAATTATCACTAATTACTTGTTACGTTGGCCGACGAAATACAATTTTCTGTTTATATAGTTTATTGGTGTTTGAATATTGATTTCCATTCTTAGAGACTTGTCTAAAATTACAGAGATAAGTAAAATGATACGCCAGCAATGTTGGCTAATGTATTCATAGAATGTTTTTAAATTTTGTGCCGTTAAGTTGGTTATGTTGGTACTCTGCAAGATGGCGTGTTGATAAAGCGCGGTTTTCAAGCTTTGTGTGCAAAAGTATGTTTTGTGGTGTTTCTCTGTTATGATTTTATGGTCAAAGTTTACCACTGTTGTCAGTCTAACAACGGAGGTATCTTTGATCGATTACGCAGTTTCTTTGTGTGTGCGTTTGACTGAATGCTGAATGCAGCGGTTATACCTTTTTGGCACTTTCTGCAGTCAACGCAATCGACCTAAGGTCGAAGAAATGTATTGAGATCGACAGACATTTAATAACACCGGAAGTCTTTATTGAACGTTATCAGTACTATTGCGCTTCGTGACATTGCGAATGAGGATTGGGAATAAAATGCCGAAAACAATAAAAGCAGAATAAGGACGTAAAATAATAAGCAAATGCTGTGAGTCCATACACGAGACATGGCTCTTATCCACGGTTGAACGATACATCGATTAGCTTATACACAAACGCCGTGTTTTCCATGGGGCACTTTAAAATGTTTATAAATTTGTGTCGTTTTACCGCTTGTGTTAGCTTCGTCGAAAATATTTTTCACGATTGGTCATCTGATCAGTGTTTTCGTGGACGATCGATACAGACTTATTTTCAGGGTCGTAGAAGCATTGGGTGGGCTGTAGAGGGCGCGTGTGTTACCTGACAGGCAAACGGCTGTGACACACAATTGGTCAAACGGACACGACTTTATGTGCAATCTATGGTCAGTTTATTGGAGCAGATATCCAGTGAAGATTTCGAAAGTAAGTTATAATTAATACTAATTACTTCTATCAGTGTTTCTTGTGCTTTTAGATTATGGTTTGGAAGAGCAGCCAACTTTGAGTTAAATGACAATGTGTGAACTCAGTACACAAATCTAATAGTACAGAGTATTTTCCTTTGTCAGTATGTTTACATGATAATTTTCGATTTTATGCTTTCAAATCTTGTTATGAAAAAGTTAACTTTTACTGCATTTTGAAGTTCACTGTTTTAATGTGTTTTACTTTGCTATTAATAGGAAGTTTCTGCCTTTACATTGTTATAATGTTCTGTTTTCTGTCAGCTCCACTGTGCCTAGTCTATTGTTCTTCACAATAACATAACATGTTTTGCGATCTTTATTGGTAAACATAACAGTAGTTCGTGATAATAATGTGTCATTTTATCTCAAACTGTAGACATTTCGGTAATAATAATTTTTTTAAAATTCCCACAGGAAGACTTTTTGAACATGCAACAAACATTGTTTCCATGCCCTAAACATTTCAGAATGCATGCATTCAGATGTCATTGGTAATACGTTAAAACGATTCACATTTATATAATGGAATTTTTGGTCATTTCCCCTAACTTTGTATTATATTTCTCTTATACCGTAATTATTTAAATATTTTATACAGCACTGTTGAATTATATTAATTATTTATCGTAATTATTTTTATATTGGTATCCATTATTGTTCTGTGTTGGATTGGAATGATTTATTATTCTCACTGTAATTCGCTTTACCGAAGAATTTGCCTCACTGTTAGTGACTTCTTGTTATTATTCAGGAGACCGAAGTTGACTGCTGCGTCACTTATTTAATTTTCTTCTTTCATTTATGCCTGCTTAACAAATTTTGGCAAACAACAACACTGTCTAATGTAACGTGGGCTTCTTGAAAAGCCAAAATATGTTAAAACACTTTCAATAACATCAAAGCTAATGCAGTAGCGGAATGTGATAAAAGTAAGTTAAATGCATTTCGTATTCTGAAAGGTTATCTTGAAAGGACATTTTGGCAGAAATGAAGGAAAGAAAGATGCGAATGGTAATTTTCCTGATATCGTCAGGTTACAGTGTAAACCTTTAGTCAGGGTATCTGGTTCCCGGACCAAGTGTCGAACCGTGTATTCTCCGCATAGAGGTCCCATTCCAGTTTTATGCAAAGCATTTCAGGAAGTTAAAAATTCGTACAGCTCTGGTAATCTAGTAAGTGTAGGCCTGTAAATTTGAG